TATTAAGATGTTTCAAGCCGCCCAGTCAGTATAGCGGTCAGGAAAGCTGAATGTGATGCCGAAGGGCCTGCGTTCGAATACCAGAGAAGGCATGGTTGTAACTGTCCATCTCTTCATAGGAAAGGTGATGGTGACCACCTATTAGGTGCCTCCATAATAAAGAGACCACCACATCCGGCCTTATATAGATTAATGGACTGGGTTACATTTGTAATTCTTCAGAATCTGCCATTGGGGGGGGAATTTTTTTCAATTGTTTGGGCCAATCATATTACTTGTTACATGGCAAACAATACGCCAAAGTTGAAGCAGCTAATGTTTGCTACACGAATTCAAATTTTTCGCAAACTGCCAGTGAATTTTAATACTTTCATTGTTAAATAGATTTTCTATACTTCAGGTTGTGAACACTCACAAATGACTCCAGCAAAGAAGGGAAAATTAAACAAATATAGTAGATGATCACTTCAAAAGATCTGGACCAAATCATTTGGAATTATTGAACATAATAGGAAAGCATTATTCATTCTATGCGGGAAAAGTGTTGTGTATCGCACATCTAGTGTCAGACAGTACTTTAACACCAACCACAAAACTGTTGCCGAATTTGATGAAACTGAGAGGAAGGTGTTTATTGAAAGGAAATTGAGGAATTATAATTACCAGAAAGTTGGGTTTTGCAATTGTCTTGCCAAAACAAACCATCTAACAACAAAGAGGCAGCTCTCAAATTTCACTGTGCCTGGCAAAACATGATAAACCACTCTCCGATGGGGATTTAATCAAAGAGGTTTTGAGCATGCGGTCCCCCGAAAAAGAGGTTTTGGGTACATGGCTCCAAAAAGGTTCACCATCACTAACCTTGGAGGAGGAAGGCCTTCATTAAGGACTTTCTAAGGGAAACTGGCTTGTATACATGGTACACTTGGGGAGAACGCCCATGTAGCCAGCCCGTTCATGGGATTCGGATCAAACTGCCAGTGTTCAGCGACTTTACTGATTGGTCTCTGGTGGGCCTAAATATAAAATAGTATATGCAATATAACACACACACACTTGACTGCAAAGGTTGGTAACATTAAATTTAATAAATTTACACATATCCAAATATTGCATAAAAGAGGGCCAAATTAAGACTTACACAGATGCACTATGCACTTAAAAGAATTTCAATTGTCCCATATACCGTAACATCTGATCTTTCCTAATTACATCTCACTCAGGCTTAATTGAGCTGCATTATATTCCATGGTAAAAACAGCAAGGAGAAATTTTTGTGATGGCCCCTTTTCTTCATCCCTAAGCACATGTTTATTTTTGCTTAATGGTGTCTGTGCAGCTCAGTATAAAAGTATATTACTAGCTCTGTGTAAGGATTATGTTTATTTTATTAACAGTTAAGTTTTAAGTTAAACTTCTTTCCTGTCAAATTCTTAACTTCAACTTACAACTTCCGGCTAGAAAGTAGTTTTAGAATCACGTCTGAATACATAATGAGGAGGAGCGGTATTTAACTGTGAAGTTCTACTTGTTGAGTTAGAATCAGAGTTTCTGATTAGTGCGCATCTGCCTTTTTGGCTACTCCCTCTTAAAGCTGTTATTACACTCGGCCGTACTCAGGCCCTTGATAACTTTGCAGTCAATTAGCGTTAGGGAGCCAACTCGGTTAGAATCTTGATAGCTTCGGCTGTATCTCTTTAGTTTAGATTAGATTTAGTTTACTTCTTGGCCTCTTAAGTTCAAGCCCAAGTGTCGGCTTTTATTGTACACTCCAAGACGGAGTTCTGTTAAATCTTATCTGAATACTAAAGGGTTAGTTACCCTTCCATCTTGTTGTTTCTTGTCGCACAAACTCAAGCGATTATTCACTTACTAGTTCTTAAGATTCTTCACGTTCAACTGTAATGTAGCATTTACAAAGTGAGGAACTCTACGGCTTGAAGTTCACAATACAGTGCCAGCAACTCTACTTTCCTATGAATGTTGTGGCAACCCTAAAAGCTTGCTTACAACACTGTTTTCCTGCAAGCATTGTGGCAACCATAGAAGCTGTCAGGAATAGTATTGTTGCCTGCATATTAAGCTGCTGGCTGATATCTAAATATCTTTAAACATAAAATAAACTAATATGCAGATTTACTTTTATCTTTGCTGTAAAAAATCTTACAAAGAGATAATATAATCTTTGCAACCTTATGGTTGAAATGTATACGACACAATAAAATGTACTTCCTGTTTATAGCAACCTTGATGAGAGAAAACTGCATCAGTATGAAAAACGTGTGATGTATTGCCAAATATTGTAAGAATTCACAAAAATGAAACTTGCTGTTGATGAGCGATGGAAACCGAGAATTTATTCTACTATATTTCTATTAAATAATATCTACACAATACAGTTTATTTAATATATATTTACAGAAGAAGTTTAATATAAATTTAAATTTATTATGTAATGTAATATAATTTTAAGTAATTTATTTAAAATAAACAATATATAAAACATACCCAAAAATTCATTTTGAACACACATTTTCTTAGGGCTGCAATTCAGCAAGTGTTGCAAATAATCCATCGAATATATTATCAGGGCCAACACAATTTGGCTATAACAGGAATTCAGTTATGTGGTTGGTTTGCTTTGGTTTATGTGATTATGGCAAAGCCTCGGGAGCTGTCTTCGTGGAGGATTTTCTTAGGAAAATGGGCTCGTATACATGGTACACATGGGGAAAACCATGAAAATACCCATGCAGCCAGCCCGTTTGTGAGATTCGAACCTTGGACTAAACTCTTCATGTTCAGTGACTTTACTGCTCGGCCGCTGGTGAGTCTCAACTAGGTAGTATTCTACATAATGATAAGACATACATACTCATGTTTTTTGTTTTATGTTCCTCTTATCACCATAAGTATTTAACTTTCTAGCTGTGGTATTTTTTCCATCCAGGCCAGACTGAAACAGAAACCATATTATACAGTTAACAACAAAAACGTTGCAGCTGGAAGTTCTTAATGGAATAGTAATAATATCTGATTTCGATTATCATAAAAATCTGTTCTTTAAAATATGACATGTAAAGATTACATTTACAAATGATTCAAGTTGAAAATCTGTAGATGTATAACATTAAATGACATTTCAATTTTTTTCTTAATTTAGAATCGTATGTACTTATAGCTATTAAAAAATATCTATACATTCTACAGAAATAGATACCATATAAATATATATATAATTCCTACTTATGTGACTGACAGTGCACAGCTTAAAATTAAAAAACTCATTGCAACAATTAAATTCTTCTGATTTGTCAGTCCTTCGAGAAAATCCTTCGATCCTAGCAGATAACTTTTAATTACTGCTTCCTCGCTCAATTATTTACTACCACTTGCCTCCATGGCAATAAGTCACTTTGTAATTTTTGCATATCTAGGCTTTTCCCAAAGTTATCGGATTAACAATATTCACATTATTTCCTTTTATAAAAACAACACATAAAGGCTTGCTGCAGATCTCTTCCTTTATGCAATTGAAGCATATAATGTTTCATATAGTACTGCCAGTTGGTGTTATACTTGACTGAGGATTAATATGGAAGTCTCACATTACACATGTAATCTCTAAGTTTCGTAAATGTAAAGCTACTCTTTCCCCCTCAATTTGCTGGAACTCAGTTTTATACCTTGACAAGTTACTCATATATAAGGCCATGTTGTGCCCTATTATTACCTATGTATGTCCTGTCTGGGGTTTTGTATGTAAAACCACGTTTCGGAGACTGTAAATTAGTCAAAACATTACACTACGTGAAATTGCTTGTGCTCGCTGATTCTACCGTAATACAACTATACACGAAGAATTTGCCATAAAACCTGTTACTGTATTTATTACAAAAATTTTAACAGAATTTCCAGGGTTAACTGTCTAATTTCAATGCTAAATTATGATCCTTACCATGCAGTTAACAGGATGGTCTGGAGCCATTCTTAGACATTTAGACTGATTATTGTATTCATTTATTGTGCTTTTATTTCATTTGACTCGTATGCTCTTATAACATGTTATTTCTGTTTGTGTTATTATTTGTATGTTATTATTTAGAACAAAGCCTGTAGTTTTCTGTGCTCTGGTTCTTTCCTTACTTTCAGCCAATAGCCAAGCTTCCACCAGCCAATTGTTAAACTTTTAGTCACGTGTACCATTTGACCCATCTCATTGCTTACACTTCTCCATCAGTGCTTTACATACAAGCTTTGATATCGACTAACATACTTCATTTCATATAGCCTTTATTACAAACAATTTGCCATCATTTTTTCAACCTACAAGAACTATTCTGCTTATTATATTTTATTATAGCATTTATACGTTATGTTTTCATACTACGTTTATCACATATATTGTTAATCTGGGATAGGACTCTGGCCCAAGAACCCATGTTTTGTGGCCTGAGGCCAACTAAGAAGTACTGCCAGTTGATGGTGCCAACATCTCCATTGCAGGATATTATGTAAGTACTTTAACTATAATTAACAGAAGATGAACAATATAAATGTTTACAATGTATGTAAACAATTCCACAAATACTACTGGAAATGTACACTGTTATTAAATGACTATATAAAACAAAATAAAAAAATAGTCAGTATTTTAAAAATACAAACAGAGAAAAATACTTAGTTAAAAGTTACATGTTATGTAATTTAAATCAGTAAATTCAGTTATAATATTTTTGTTATATTATCTGCAACTGTAATATATATAGCAAATAGTTTTTTTATATGACAGGAAAAGAGAAAATATTCAAAATATGCACTATCCTGTTTTCCTCTATTACCATGTAGAATTCATGCAACTGTAAAAATCAGAAACAAACTAAGATTTACTATCCAATATTCATTTTAAAATATAAGCCTATTTCACATTTATAAAAATGTGTATAATTAAAACTAAATGTGAAATCTGTATAGTAAAGAAAAATTGTTGAATTCAAAAATGAGAGCTAAACATCTATTTCGATTCAATATATAAATCTACCATTTTATCCATTATTTTTGTAGATAATGCATACTATTCAAACATTTCTTTTACTAATAGGACGGCATAACATTTTTTACAAGTACCTCTCTACAATTTAATGCTTTGTGATTTGAAATAATCAGTAATTTTTCTCTGTTTATGTCTCTCAGTTAAGTCAAGCAGAATGAAATCTTCAACTGTACTCAATGATTTCCATACATGGTCTGGAACAGAATCCTGCTGCTTTAAAAAACAAGACAATTTTTCAGTTAAATTTATTGCTTCTCGCAACCCAATGGATAAATTAAATTCCTGAAAACTAGTTGAAGAATCAAATTTAGATGTTTCTAAAGATGAATCAAACTTAGGTGTTTCTGTAGATGAATCAAATTTAGATGTTTCTAAAGGTGAATCAAATTTAGAAGTTTCTGAACTCAATTCGTCTGTCTTTCTGTCTGCTTCCTCACAATAATTTGCTGAAACTATACTGTTAGGACAGATATCTGTTACAATTTCTTCAGAGTTCGTAGAACATTTATTCAACAGTGCTTCGGAATGCATATTATGAGCACAAACAGTAGCCACAATTTCCTCGTCCGTCATACCAATGCCTGTAACAACATTAATATTTCCGTCTCCTTCCATGGCCTTTACTGACAAACCATATCTTTCTCTAAATCGAGACAACCAACCACTACTTCCTTCAAAATTTGTATGCCCTAAATATTGAGCGAATTCCCGCGCTTTTTGTTTTAGCATTGGTCCATTAACCTTACAGTTTTTGGTTCTCATCTGACGAAACCACATATGAAGAGCTTCCTCCACATCCCTGAATAATCCAAGTCGCATCCTTTTCCGGCCAGGAGGGACATTGTAATGCTCTGATAAAAGCTTTACTTTCAGCCTTTCTTTCACAATAGTTCTCGCAGTAGAAGGCGGAATTCCAAATTCACGAGCTACTGCTAATAAAGGCCGCCCACTATCGATCATTTTTAAAAATTCTAGTTTTTCTTGGAGACTAATTGGTCTTCGTTTGCGTACTTCATTTCGTACATTTTCAGTCATTTTAAATTTTGCAGTAAATAATTCTACTACCAAAATGCAGCAACGTAATACAGAACTTACTGCCTTATTGCAAAGATTTAGGTATGAGGTAATCTACCTTAATACCACAGCATCATGTACTCATCACATCTCAATAATCTCTTCCTTCAATGCATTCTTGAATTATGTTGCTGTTTATTATGATGATGTTGATGACGATGATCTGTTGTACCTCCGCCAAGGCTAATGTACACGACTCAAAAAAAAAAAAAAAAAATCTTGTACCCCTGATCTGATTATGATAATGAAGATCGTGTTTCTACATCTTGACACTCGAGAATAAAATACACACAGATCGTATTTTATTCTCGAGTGTCAAGATCTTTTACTCGACTTCTGATAAAGATCGGATGGGAGGAGAAAGAGAAGTGTGAAAGGAGTGTGGGAGGCGGATGAAAGAGAATGAGGTCCGCACTAGCGGCGGCGAAAAAAAGAGGGGGTGTCAAGTTCAGTGTCGTTATAAGATGTAGCCGCGGGTGGTAAAACCGCAGAGTCAGTTTTGCGTGAATGAGTCAATTAAGGTTGTGAATCTTATGTTTGGAGGATGTCACAAGGGTAGCGATGTTTTTCTCTGGGACGCCGGGAGTGTCTGAGAGTGCTATTACTGTGGGTTTGTACTGAATAAAAGAAGTTGACCGCTAATCGTTTAATATACTCTTGAATAAGTTCCATTCGAAGGTCTCTGTGAATATAGATGTTGTGAATATACCAAAGAGCATTGATAATTTCTCGTAAAATTTTATTTTGTAGAATTTGTAATTGTTTAATATTCGTTTTAGCTGCATGTCCCCAGATCGGTGAAAGAAGAGCTGAGCTGGGCGCAGTATGGAGCAGATATAGAAATTAATTTGTTAGTTGCAGATAAGTTGCTTCTATCAAGAAGAGGTCTCATAGTTGCTGAGGTCATTTAAAATTTTTGTGCATCTGAGCGGAAGTGGGTTTTGAGGGTAAATTTTTTATCTAGGGTGACTCCAAGATATTTGCTTTCATTAATCCAGTCTATTTCTTCGTCAAATATTTCTGAGGGTGGAGGGTAATATTTCACGTTTTCCTTACGGAAAATTATTGCTTTGGTTTTATCAGTGTTAATTTTAGTCCTCCAAAGGGTGAGCCATTTTTCCAGTTTTATGAGACAGTTTTGGAGTTGGTTTCTTACGGCGATTACTGTGCAGGCTTTAATAAGGATGGCGGTGTCATCGGCAAGAGTGCAAGATCAACAGAAGGATCTTTAGGGATATCTGTGTATAATATTAAAAAGGTACGGCGAAGAAACCGACCCCTGTGGGACACCATCTTGATACTCTGATGGTAGAGTAAGCATCACCGATTTTGATTCTGAATGTTCTGTTGCTGAGAAAAGAGGCTATTAAGCGAATAAAATGATCTGGAAATTGAGAGTGATTAGTTTGTAAAGCTTTCGTGATATCGAGAAATGTAGCACCGGTCGGAAGCTTGCAGTTCTGGCCTTCAGTGATAATGTTGATAACTCTAAGAAGTTGGTGGCAAGTGCTATGATGATTACGAAAACCGAATTGTTCTTCTGGGAGAAAATTCATGGAAGGGTGAATTTTTTGGATGTGGACAAGTAGGATTTTCTCAGTAACTTTAGACAGGTGGCTAAGTAAACTGATAGGGCGATAGTTCTGTGGAAGAGTTGGATTTTGTTGCGGTTTAGCAAAAACAATTATTATAGCTTGCTTCCATGAGTTAGGAAAGTGAGCGAATTTGATAATGTTGTTGATTATCTTAGTTAGGCAGGTAAGAGCGTTTGATCCGAAGATGCTTCAGTGCTTTGGTCGAGATGCCATCGTGCCCTGGGGCTTTTTCGTTTGTAAGGCGCTGATGGTGTTGGCAACGATTGTTGGGTAGTCAGGAAAGTGAAGTTTTACGGAGCAGGGGTGTTAAGGAAGTTATTGACCACCTGGTTGACCCGTTCAATATGGTTATGTCGTACGGAGTGGGATTAAGGTGGAACAGATTCGACATCAGCGATGGCCTGCTAACAGCGATGGACGTACGAGCTCTGAGCTCCGTAATGTCAATGCGAACGGAATCCAGAATACGGCGCCGCCAGAGGGCAAACAATCTACTTCTCCTCCGCCTCTACAGATACAAACTGAAATGGAAATTACTGCATCTACTCCACCTGCTTCTCCTTCTGCACTTGAGCTGTCGAAGAGCGCAATCCAAATTTATTCTCTGAAAATCGCCACACAGACCTCCTTTTCGATATCAGCGATTCAAAGAACGGAACACCTAACAAGGAATTGATGATCAAACAGTTGCAGGATGAGGGTGAGAAAGTTTTATTTTCCTTGCATACCCTCTGCACTAAACTCGGCATAAATTTATTTACCCTCCCTGCCACTGAAGAGAATTCTTCAAAGAATGTAAAAATCCTCCAAAACCCCTGATTCGGATCCTAAAATCCAAATTCTGAACCTAAAACTCAAAATTCAAATCCAACCACCCTCATCCTCAGCCAATCAAAATCCTCCAAAAGATACTTCCAAATTGAATCTAAAAAAAACGCACCAGACCCACAGATAATGAAGGATTTGCAGTTCCTCCCAAACATCTTAATTGCCAAAAAACACTTACCCAACACTAATGATAAATGAAAACATTACAACATCTAATTCTTTCTTCACAAACATACAAAAACTCTGACAGATAACACTGAACACTCGACGCAGCAGCCGGCTGTCACTCAAACACCAAAAATTCAAGCACCACCTCCAATTTTCATAAAACCGCGTGCTGATTGGTTCTTTCTCCTCAATCAGTTACGCCGACATGCACCAACTGTTCTTTCCAAACAAGACATAGACTTTCTTAGACTCACAACCACTAATGAAACTGATTATAGAACAGTTGTAAGATTCCTCACAGAAAATAACATTGAATTCAAATCACACACACTTAAAGCAGACAGACCACTTAAAGTGGTCATTAGGGGATTACCCTCCAATACACACCGCTCAACGTTGTGCAGACTGCGGTTGAAGTGCTTGGCTTCAAAATCCACAAAATCTCTCAACTGAAAAATGGAAAACAAGAATGCCAATGCCCCTCTTTATCTTGCAAATCTTCAACAGCCTCAAAGCTGAGAAATATATTCAATAACTGAACTCCTTGGAACTGAAGTATCCATGGAACACTTCAAAGGACAGAAGGGTCCCTCCCAATGCTGGCGTTGTCAGGGATTTTTTCATTCATCTGAAGTCTGCACCTTACCAAGACGATGCGTCAGATGCGCTGGGCCGCATCAAGCCAAAGAATGCACAAAACCTTTGAAGAGCCGAACAAATGTGCAAATTGCTCAGGAAATCATGCTGCAAACTGGCGTTCCTGCCCGAAGTTTCCCGACTCCAAAAACAGACAACCTCCAAAGCCAAGTACCAAACCCAGTCAGACCGTTGACAACACGAACAAATTTAACTTACAACATAATACATTTCCAACACTGCCGGCTGCACACACTCTCAGTGCAAATAATATTCGCCCTGGAGTTTCATACTCTGCTGCCCTTACGGGTATGCAACAGACTGCACCCCCACTTATTCCAAATCTATCGGTCCCCTTAGGAGCTAATTCGACACTAAATTGTACCGAAATCCTTTTGGCTATAATTCCAAATTTCTAATCCAGCCTGGTATTGACCAGAGCAAATTACTTTGGCATTCAAAAACGCCTTACCGCAGCTCAGAGTGGCTCCATCTGGTGCTGACGCGGCATACTACATCTTTGAGAGCTATATTACTCTCCAATTCTCTGATATCCCCAGTCAGTAAAATTCAATACTTTGAAAGGATTGAAAAACTTAAAACTATGCACCTGGAATGCAAATGGCATCCTATCCAAATTCCATGAGTTTAGAGACTATGTAGAAGAGAAGGATTTTGATATTATTTTTGTCCAAGAGACCAAACTCCAGCCAGGGAGAGCTCCCAAGCTTGCAAATTATGCATTATATAAAAATGACAGACAAGCTTCTAATACTCGTGATGTTTATCATGGTGGCACTTGTGTCTATATAAAAAATTCAATACCTCACAAAAGAATTGACACTCCGAGTATGAGTAAACTCGAGGCAACAATCATCGAAATTTTCATTCAAAATTCGCCCTCCCTAGTAATGATCTCTGCCTATCTCCCACCAGGTGGAAATTTACCTGTGGTAGATTTTAACAAATTGCTCACCTTTTTCCAACAATCTAATCATAGCTGGTGATTTAAATTGTCACCATCAGCATTGGCGTTGTCATAGATCAAACCCTGCTGGTCGTGGCCTTCTAAAATGGGCTCAGTGCGCCCAAATTAAAATTATTGCGCCGGATTCCCCCACTAGATATGGTTCACGGGGGTGCCCCTTCATTCATTGATTTGGCACTCTTTCGAAACATCCCTTTTGGATATCACGTGACTGTTGAAAACTGTTTATCTTCAGATCACAACCCCGTAATCATAGACCTTAACTGTACTATTTTTTTAATCAAAATTCTCCGGCACTCGTCTCTACAAACTGGGACAATTTTCGTTTCAAACTTAAAAGTAAAAATTTGCCCTCCCTTGAAATTAAATCCAGCCATGATATAGACTCGGCAGTTGATCACTTAACGACCATTTAACAGATACTTATAAGGAAGTATCAAAACCCACCCTCAGACCCAATTTTCGTAAATTACCTCAAGAAATTAAACTCAAAATTAAAGAAAAGAATAAAGTACGGAGACTTTGGCAAAGAAATAGAAATCCTGGCTTAAAAATTCAACTCCGTACTCTCCAAAATGAGATCAAGGCATCATGTGACCAGTTCTTCTTCCAATCACAATACACGAATTACATTCAGTCCCTTAACGACCAATGATAACAGTCTTTGGCGCGCATCAGCCCGCCTACGCAAACACAAATCTAACATTCCGTCCTTAGCTACGGACGCAGTGGTGGCTCACACAGACGCTGAGAAATCCGAATTAATTGCGGATTCTCTTCAAACTCAATTTACACCACATAATGAAGGAATTTTTGCGAACAGCGCAAATTCTTTCCCACAAGATGTTGAACGCTTCCTCTCCTCGCCTTTCGCGAGAGAAATACAATATACATCCATGAGCGAGGTAAGTGAATACATTACCAAGCTCAAACCCAAAAAAGCCCCTGGTATGGACTCTATTTCTAATCGTATGATTAAAAATTTACCCACCAATTATCTATTTTTCTTAGTAATGCTTATAAATT